AATCATCATTAATATAATTTATTCATACGTTTGCGTACGTTTCTAGGTTGTCAAGACATCAATGGCGTATTTATCCGTACTTCGATCGTTTATGTAAAGAGAACGGAAGAAACCAATACTAAACAGGAATGATAAAGAAAAAACAATAGAGAACTTTACGTGTTACATCCAAATTGAAAAAAAGAACTGAAAAAAAGGAAGGATATCTTATTAAAAATATAAAATTCATTAAATAATCGATGTTACGAATCTTTATTTCAAACATTTAATTTAAGAAGAAATAACACACTGTTATTTATCTAAATGATAATATTAAATATATTTTATTTTGCCTTGTTTACAATCTCGTTATTTCGACTGTGCGTTCGTGCTTGCGATAAAAACCGAACTGAACGTCATATCGAAAAAAAGAATAATGGAAAGAGCACAAATAACATAAAGAGAAAAAATGAGAAGGGAGGAAATACAAAAATAATTTTATTATTTAAATTATATTAAGTATTATTAAATTATATTATTATAAAAATGTGAATGATAACATATTGAATACCCCAGAAGAAAAAAAGATTAAATAAAATATGATAAGTGTTAACATTATGTATGGAGATATCGTTCGAAGACCATTTTCTTCTCTGTTTCCTTTTTTGTAATGTAACAAGTCGAAGAAGTATTAAAGACTCAAGAGGATAACATATATCGCACTTCCTTTTAATCTGTTGCCTTCTTTTTATTTTCAATTTTTTCATGTTTTTTCTTTTTTTGTTTGATTACATTCACTTCAAACCATTCGAGATCCTGAACGTTTTTCTACTTCACGAAAGATACATCGCGATCAGTGGTGTATGACCATTGAGAAATAATTACGTTAAATTTGCAATATATACCGTTTATTGCACGATACAAATCATATTGGCATACTTGGATTTGTACGATATAATAGATGACCTTTATCTCATGGTACAGAATCTTTTGGAAACTTTAGTGCCGAGTTTGTCATTGTTAATGATAATAATTATTCGATTTCATCCCATTTTGGTAACATTGATCGTCACTACCAAGATCGAAATTCTCAATGACGGAAGATACTTCGAAAAGAACGAGGAATATTTAGATTATTATCATCACAACCATACGTAGAACACATTGTCGAAAATCGTATCGACAACTTCAAAATAACAAGAATGTAAACTATTCCCAAATCTTTATGCTTTACTACATTCTATGTATATATATATATTTTTTTTTCGAATTTATATACGCATAATTATAAAAATATTTAATTTTCAATATTATAATTTAATTTCTAAATATATATATATATATATATATATATATATATATATATATATGTACATATATATATATATATACATATACATTTATAATATATAAAAATTAATATATTTTTAATATTACTGTACAAAAGTTTTTTAAAATAAAATTTTTGTCATTACGCAATGATATATACACATATATGGAAAAAAAGAAAAAAGAGATATCATTCATGTCAAGAGAACTGAACTGAAAAATAAAACAAGAAAAATGAATAACTTATCCGATTAATTGATTTTATATGGAAATCATAAAATTATTGGATACATTTAAATTTGAGCGCTAATTTTACTTCTTACAATTTCAGATTATGCACACCCATTCCAAGGTATGTTATCGATCCCTTCGATTTCTCTGTTCATAGATCTTTTAGAATACTCAATTGCTTAAAGTGAACATTCATTGTTTATTATTTATTAATTATTATATCTTCTTAAAAGCTGTATCCGTGTAGAACCTGTATTTATTATACTTATTTTACATGTAGTACTAATCCTAGACCTAGTAAATATGTAACTATACGCAAACATTTGTCTAATAGTTAATGCGATCAGATTACATGGACTAATTCACAAATTAATGGCTGAGACGAATTTAACCTCTCTTTCTCTCTCTCTCTCTCGCTCTCCCTATGCGTAGATTTTGAGGAGTACCTACGTCCTTTAAGATTCTAAGAATTACTATAAAAAGGAAAGCAGGAAAAAGAGAAGAAAAATTTCAGAAATGTCTAAACTGATCGTAGAACTTATCACGTAACATAACACGGGGGCCAATATTATTAAAAATATAAAATAGAATAAAAAAGAAATTGCGAAATCGTTTAAATTAATAACAATACTTATCGTAGCATAAATTGGTAATGTCCAATATCATATAAAAACATTTGAAAATTGTTTAATTTTTCATTAAACTTTCGACGAAACACTATTATATACAAAAAAAAAAAGAAATGTCTTAAAATCGTCTGAAGTGTTCACAAAATTTTGTCGTAACATAAATTAGCGATTACGATTATAAAAATAAAATTCAGAATCCTCTAAATGGATCGAAAAATTTACCATAGCGATCTAGATTTTAAAACAAAACGAAAATGAAAATAAAAAACAGTCTAAGCAAAACGCAAAGCTTTCCTTACCGTGAACCGAAAACTACACTGCTTTACCATATCATTGCACACGCCATACTAATCCTTGCAGATACTTTCCCCTATAATGCATATGCCTCTTCGAACGATAATTAAATTTTTACTTTTAAAACACGTCTCTTTGTTCGGTAAACATTCGAAAAAGGTCGTTCCATCTATTAAAAAAGAAAAAAAAGACACTTGCCGAAGTTAGGCTGAGTGTAGGTAAGATAATTGCAATGCAAGGAAACAAAAAAAAAGGGGGAAAAAAAGAAAAACGAAACGAAAAGACGAAGAATCAAAAAGAAGTTTCGGAAAGTTTCGAAAATAAAAAAGAAAAAAAATCCTAGGTTATTATAAACCATCAACCACCACCCACGAAACTCTCAAACTTCAATTCGTTCCAGTCTTTTATCCCCACTCTTTTCAACTTACATTCCCCTCTGCCCTTCCAATGCAAAAGCTAGACGACCTTTCATTCTCGAATTTATTCTCTAACCTTCGAACATTAGTCGACTCGAATTCGATTGATACGTTGCTGTCTCGTATTTACAATAAAAATCGTTCATTAACGAAAGAATAAAAATAGAAAAATTACGACGAATTCGAAAGAAAGGATTGGAAAAGTTCATGATACTCATATGATCCACATCAAGTGTTGTATCCAGTGGAACGAGTGACCACTCATTCATTGTCCTAACAAAAATTTTTTTTTGTTAATTTTCATGTTTTCGTCACGTTGTGTGAGTGTGTTGACGGAGGTGTTAGATCAAATGTTAACAAGTGATTTTTTAAGAGAGAAAAAATAAAAGAACGTAGATATTGTCAAAAACAAATAAAAATTGTTCACTACAACGTTTAATGATTTTCGTAAATAATTTTTTTTCTTCTTATCAAATTATATATAAGAAGAATGGCGAAAAATTCATAGAAAAAAGTTTCCTATCGTATCGTAAAAAGTTTTAATGATCCGAGTGGAAAATGTTCGCCTGAAGTGCATTAAAATGCAATTAATCGATTTTTAAAATCAATCAGTCTGTGCATGGGATTAAATGTATGTGCACTCGTGTGTATATGTGAATAACATAAAGCTATAAAGAGAAAGAAATTAGGAAATATTAATGAAGCTTTATTACAGAGATAATTGTTAAATCAATAAATCATTGGGTGCACTTATTTAAAGAAAGTTTCCTCGAACGGTGTTTACAAGTTACATAGTTTTCTTTCCATTATATGTCATCCTTGGTAGCAATGGTGAATATGTATTCTAAAATTAATTTTTTTTTCTCCCTTTCTTTTCTGCTTATCAGTTTTTTTTTGTTCTTTTTTCGATCAAATAAGATTACAGAAAATTACGTAAGGCCGTGTATACGCATGTGTGTTTTTGTGTTTGTCAAATTGTTTTTAAAAAATAATTCTCTTTTTTAAGTAAATTATGAAAAATCACGAATCGTTTTTTGCTAAGTGAAGCAACAAATGACGTGTTGTTTTTTTCTTCCATCCGTATTTTGAAAAATATTTTTACAAATTTTTATTATTCATATGTTATACAAAAGAAAAAAAATTAATGAATTATGAAAATTTTATATAAGGCGAATCGCAATGAATGACATTTTTTTCTGTATTTCTTTCATTTATATCAAAAGACATAAATACCTTATATTAAAAATTTATATTGAAGGAAATATTAAAATTTTCTTAATTTTCTTATTGTTTATACGAAATAGTAATGAAAAGAAAAAAGAAATAAATGAAAAATATGCAAGAAAAATTTAATTAATCATTATACTTCAAGGAAGCAAAATAGTTTGTTAATTAGATAATCGAAAAAAAATAAAATATGCATTATAAATGGGAAGATATGCAAAAATAATATTTCCATTTCGTAGTAATTAACTAATTTAAAAAGACCAAAAGGAAACGAAAAAAATAATGCAATAAAAATTCAATTAATCAATAACTCTCGAAAAAGTTAAACGATTTAATTAACCTAATTAATTGATTAAAACTGAGAAAAACTAGAAACCAAGAAAATAAATAAAAAGAAATGAAGGATGTAAAATAAAACAGAACAAGTAAAATAAGGAAATCTTCGTTTTAGGAGCTTGACTTTCGCGATGCCAGGAAGGTACTAGATATGAACAAACGTACGTTAAATTGCACGGGAATTTGGCCAGAAAAGATTTACGAGCCGCTTTTCCTTTTTTTCACCTCTTACTTGGTTATACAATGTACGATGGGAGTGATTTCGATTGTCAAAAACATATCGGATATGGAATATGTTCTCGCTTGCTTTGAAGAAAACTTGTTCGATCTTATGTCACTATTGAAGATATGCATATACAGAGTGAATAGCAATACGTTGGCCGCAATTATAAAGGAAATCAAACTCGATCTTATTCCAGAAAGATACAAAACCGATGAGGAAAAGATTGCTTTTTTAAATTATAACAATTTTAGTCTAAAGCTCGTTAAGTTCAATATAGCAACAAGCAGCACAGCCGCTTTTCTGTATTATGTGTCCCATTCAGCTAACAACATTAAAATGGGTAAATTTTATTACAATTAAATCGAAATCATACATGATCAATGAATATTTTTAATTTTTCTTTTTTTCATTTATTCAATTTACGTCGTATAATAATTTTTTTCTTATACATCCGAATACATATTTATTTGTTTATTTTTTATCATTTGGATCAGTAATTTTTGTAAATGTTCTTCAACTATTTCCTTTTCCTTTTATTTATCATCTTCTTTTTTTTATTCGTGAATAATTTTTATTCTAACGACTATCGACTTTTATTATTTTAATTTTTAGTCAATATATTCTAAATATTTTAATTTATTTCTATGATATATAAATATATATTTTTCTATTTCAATTTATTATATTATTATAATTTTGAAAATTTTAAATATTCTATTTTAATATAAATTGAAATATATTTTTATGTTGATTTTTCTTGTTTCTAATTGTTTTTCTTTTTTTTTATATATTTTACATTAAATATATGTTATCTTTAACATAAGATAGTTAGTATAATTATATATAGGTTGTTCGAAATAGAAACCTTAGAAATAATAATCACGTAAAATAACTTTTTTATGTCATTTTTATTTCAAATATTAAAAAAAAATTAATATTGTCGTCCGTTTTAAAATTATTTTTTATAGAAAAATATTGAATATCCTAATACTTTTCATTAAGAATAATATTTATAAGATGGAAAAAGAAATTATAACTAAAATTATTTTTTTTTTTGTTAAATGCAATTACAAATAATATCAAAACAAATTATAATATTATTATGTCGAGAAAAATCTAAAATTGATTTTACAGATATCATTTCTTATTAGTTAAAATTGAGAAATTAAATTATTTCTATAGTTATCGTATAATAAAAAAAAAAAAAAAAGTTTCTAATAATGTAAAGTGTTTCTTTTATAATTCTTTTGTTACTTACAGTCATTACAAATTCATCTTACGGATACGTATTGCCATACAGAACTCTTCCGGTGATTGAACCGACAAATATGACAATCTACATTCTTTTTTGCCTATATCAATTTGTAAAAGTACTAATTATAGTCTTCGGTTACGTCGCAACTGATTGTCTATTCATGAGTTTGGCACTCCACGTCAGCGGTGTTCTCTCTGCACTTTCCTGCAAAGTAAAGCACGTTTTGGAAAATCCGGAGAATCGTAAACGTCGAATAAAAAAATTAATTGTGAGACACATACGTCTAGTAGGGTAATAATAATAAATAATAACAACAACAAATATAATAATATTAGCAATAATGATGCTGATGATGATGATAATAATGATAATACCAATAATAATGAATAAAATAACTAAAAGAATACATTATGAAATTTACAAAATAAAAATATGCATATATATATATATAAATATATAAATATATACATATATATATATATATAAAATAAATTTATATATATATACATATACTATGTAAACTGTTTCAGGTTAGCTGATTCTTTGGAAAGTGAATTCAACCTACTAATTTTACAACATTTAATGGGAAGTACCTTTCATCTATGTCTTCTTGGTTACGACGCGCTCCTTGTAAATTTAACATATACATTTCGTTAATGCTTATATCTAGAAGATATTTCTTAGAAAATATTAGATTAAATTATTATTATTTCCAGTGTATAGCGACAGGAGAGCAAAATAAGTTATTAGTTTATGTCTTAATTGCAACTCGTGTTTTAATCTCGCTATTGGCTTATTGCTATATCGGAGAGTGTCTCATTAATGAAGTACGTAAATTATCTCATTCGTACGCAAATATGTCATTTTATGCTACTGATACAATGATATCGTTTCACACACTTTCAAATAAAGGATACATACACATAAATATTAATTATTTACTTTTTATAATTCATTCACATTTATTTCTATTTGTTTATAGCTATTCATTTCTCTCAATTATTTTTTATATTTTAATTTCATATATAATATTTTCATATATTTTTCTTGGACACATTATTTATTATATTCATTTATTCTTAGTTTCTAATTACATACTTTTGATATTATTGTTTTAGAACATTTTTTTATATTTAAAAATGAATGTTTAAATATAAAAATATATGTACAGATTTATATTACATTATACATACTAAATTCATATAATTTATAAATTATATGTATTGTGTTGCAAAAATTTGACGTCACATTTTAGAACTTCAGGAATTCATGACTCCAGGAGCATATATGGAAGCAAATTTTTTTCTTCTTTTTTTTTTTTCTTTTTATAATTCTGATTGACATGTCATGGTTACCAGTTCCATCCATTACTCCTTCCCTAACGAAAATAATTGAAAATTATTATTACAGATTAATAAATGATTAAAAACATATTTTACAGAGCACATCCTTTGGTGAATCATTTTATCAGTGCAAATGGTACAACATATCGCAAGAGGAGATTAAATTAATGCACATTTGTATGATGCGATCGTCAAAACAAATGGAACTGACAGGCGGCAAATATTTCGTGTTGTCGTTGACTACGTTCACAGATGTGAGTAAAAATTAAATTTTTTTCTTTTTTTCATTTTTTCTGTCCTTTTTACAACATAAATATATGTATATATATTTATATAATCTTCTGAATAATCATTAATATCCTTTATTTATACGTTCTCATACGTTATTAGGTTGTGAAGTCATCAATGGCATATTTATCCGTACTTCGAACGTTTATGTAAAGAGAACAAAAACAATAAATTACTACAGAGGAAAGGTAAAATAAACAATAGAGAAGTTCAAGTGTTACATTTAAGTTAAAAAAAAAATTAAAAAAGAAAGGGCATCTTATCAAAAAAATAAAATTGATTAAATAATCGATGTTACGTTTCTTTATTTCAAACATTTAATTTAAGAAGAAAAAGCTCTCTTTTATTGGTCTAAATGGTAATATTAAAAATATTTAATTTTTCCTTGTTTACAATCTCGTTATTTCGACGTTGTCCCCGTACTTGCGATAAAAAACGAACTGAACGTCGTAGCGAAAAAAAGAAAAATGGAAAGAGTACAGATAAGAAAATGAGAAAAAATGAGAAGGAAGGAAATACAAAAATAATTTTATTATTTAAATTATATTAATTATAATTAAATTATATTATTATAAAAATGTGAATGATAACATATTGAATACTCCTGAGAAAAAACGTGAAATAAAATACGACAAATTTTAACATTATGTATAGAGATATCGGTCAAAGATCATTTTCTTTTCTGTTTCCTTTTTTGTAATGTAACAAGTCGAAGAGGTATTGAAGACTCAAGCGGATATCAAGCGGATATTACCGCTATTGTTTTTAATTTGTTGCCTTCTTTTTTATTTTCCATTTTTTGTTATTTTTGTTTTTTCATTTGATTATCTTCAGTTCAAACCATTCGAGATCGTGAACGTTTCTCTATTTCACGAAAGATACATCGCGATCGGTGGTGTATGACCATTGAGAAATAATTACGTTAAATTTGCAATATATACCGTTTATTGCACGATACAAATCATATTGGCATACTTGGATTTGTACGATATAATAGACGACCTTTATCTCATGGTACAGAATCTTTTGGAAACTTTAGTGCCGAGTTTGTCGTTGTTAATGATAATAATTATTCGATTTCATCCCATTTTGGTAACATTGATCGTCACTACCAAGATCGAAATTCTCAATGACGGAAGATACTTCGAAAAGAACGAGGAATATTTAGATTATTATCATCACAACCATACGTAGAACACATTGTCGAAAATCGCATCGACAACTTCAACATAACGAGGATGTAAACTATTCCCAAATCTTTATGCTTTAGTACAGCCTATGGATATATATATATATATTTTTCTTTCAAATGTATATATGCATAAATATAAAAATATTTAATTTTCAATATTATAATTTAATTCCTAAATATATATATATATATATATATATATATATATATATATATGTATATACATACATTTATAATATTTAAAAATTAATATATTTTTAATATTAGTGTACTAAAGTTTCTTAAAATAAAATTTTTGTCATTACGCAATGATATATACACATATATGGAAAAAAATAAAAAAGAGATATCATTCATATCAAGAGAACTGAACTGAAAAATAAAACAAGAAAAATGAATAACTTATCCAATTAACTGATTTTATATGGAAATTATAAAATTATTGGATACATTTAAATTTGAGTGCTAATTTTACTTCTTACAATTTCAGATTATGCACCCCCATTCCGAGGTATATTATCGATCCCTTCGATTTCTCTGTTCATAGATCTTTCAGAATACTCAATTGCTTAAAGTGAACATTCATTGTTTATTATTTATTAATTATTATATCTTCTTAAAAGCTGTATCCGTGTAGAACCTGTATTCATTATACTTGTTTTAAATGTGTTACTGATCTTAGTCATCATGAAATAATGGTTGAGACATATTTATCGTCTCTCTCTCTCTCTCCCTCTCTCTCTCTCTTTCTCTCACGCCCTCCCTGTCCGTAGATCTTGAGGAGTACGTACGTCCTTTAAGGGTCTAAGAGTTACTATAAAAAAGAAAGGAGAAAAAAGAGAAGAAAAATTTCAGAAATGTCTAAACTGACCGTAGAATTTATCACGTATCATAACACGGGGGCCAATATTATTAAAGATATAAAATAGAATAAAAAAGAAATTGCGAAATCGTTTAAATTAATAACAATAGTTATCGTAGCATTAATTGGTAATGTCCAATATCATATAAAAACATTACAAAATTGTCTAATTTTTCATTAAACTTTCGACGAAACACTATCATATACAAAAAAAAAAAAAAAAAGAAATGGAAATATCTTAAAATCGTCTGAAGTGTTCACAAAATTTTGTCGTAACATAAATTAGCGATTACGATTATAAAAAAAAAAATTCAGAATCCTCTAAATGGATCGAAAGATTTACCATAGCGATCTACAATTTAAAACAAAACGTAAATGAAAATACAAAATAGTGTAAACTAAACACAAAACTTTCCTTAGCGTAAACAGTCAACTACACTACTTTACCATATCATTGCACACGCTATACTAATGCACGCACATACTTTTCCCTATAATGCATATGCCTCTTCAAGTGATCATTAAATTCTTATTTTTAAAACACATCTCTTCGTTCGGTAAACGTTCGAAAAAGGACGTTCCATCTAGTAAAGAAGAAAATAAAAGTCACAGGCCGAAGTTAGACACAGTGTAGGTAAGATAATTGCAATGCAAGGAAACAAAAAAAAAGGGAAAAGAAAAGAAGAACGAAACGAAACGACGAACAATCAGAAAAAAGTTTCGGAAAGTTTCGAAAATTAAAAAGAAAGAAATATCCGAGGTTATTATAAATCATCATCCACCACTCACGAAACTCTCCAACATAAATTCGTTCCTGCATTTTATTCCCACTCCTTACAACTTACATCCCCCTCCAACCAACCATTGTAAAAGCTATACGACCTTTCATTCTTGGATTTATTCTCTAACCTTCGAGCATTAGTAGACTCGAATTCGATTGATACGTTGACGTCACGTACATCCAATCACAATCGTTCATTAGCAAAGGATTAAGAAAAGAAAAATTACGACGAATTCGAAAAGAAAGGATTGGTTAAGGTCACGATACTTAAGTGACCCAAATCTGTGTTGTATCCAGTGGAAAGAGTGACCACTCATTCATTGTCCTAACAAAAATTTTTTTTTGTTAATATTTTCATGTTTTCGTCACGTTGTGGGAGTGTGTTGAAGGAGGTGTTAGATCAAATGTAACAAGTGATTTTTTGAGTGAGAAAAAAGAAAAGAACGAGGAAATTGTGAAAAACGAACAAAAATTGTTCGCCACGATGTTTAGTGATTTTCGTGGATAATGTTTTTTTTCTTCTTATCAAATTGAGTAAAAGAAGAACAAAGTATAATTTATAGAAAGAACTTTTCTATCGTACAATAAAAAGTTTTAATGATCCGAATGGAAAATGTTCGTTCGAAGTACATTAAAAAGCAATTAATCGATTTTTAAAATCAATCAGTTTCTCTATGGTAGTGAATGTGTCTCCACTCACGTCTACATGTGCCTACCATAAAGCTATAAAGAGAAAAAAATTAGGAAATATTAATGAAGCTCTATTACAGAGATAATTGTTGAATCAATAAATCATAGGGTGCACTCATTTAAAGAAAGTTTTCTCGATCGGTGTTCAGAAGTTACATTGATTTCTTTACTTTATGTGTCGTCCTTGCTAGCAATGGTGAATATGTGTTCTAAAATTTATTTTTTTTCTCCCCTTCTTTTCTATTTATCAGTTTTCTTGTTCTTTTTTTGATCAAGTATGATTACAGAAAACTACGTGTGGCCGTGTATAGTCGTGTGTGGTTTTTTTTTCTCATATTGATTTTAAAAAATAATTCTCTTTTTTAAGTAAATTGTAAAAAATCACGAATCGTTTTTTGCTAAGTGAATCAACGAATGACGTGTTGTTTCTTTCTTCCATACGTATTTTGAAAAATATATTTACAATTTTTTATTATTCGAATGTTATAGTAAAGAAAAAAA